GACGCATAGCGCTCTAGGAAACACTTTTAAACGTAACAGTATTATTACGTGGATGAACATCTATTTTATGAGTTCTAAGGGTTGGGAGACCAAGTAACCCGTCAGCTGGCAAATTAAACTGCTGAACCACATAAAAGTCCGCGTAGAAGGGAGCACCACGTCTTGAGAATCTGAGTGGTAACGTCACCATTCCGTTAATGCTCAACTGCGCGCCAGATACTCCTTAGGGATCAGCGTCAGTAGGCCTCCATTTGAAATCACGGTGAGGGAATTTACGTTGTCACTCCTGATAGGATGTCAAGGCCAAAACATTTGCGCAAGCACCCGTATCTATATCAAGAGCCAATCTTGTACTATCCACTCTCACCGGCACTGACAACACTTCCACTTTGCTTAGCGCCGCTACTAACGAGGCTGCTATAGAAGTGTTGTGGGGAGATGCAGGAAACAATGTACCTATCCCTCTTCTTGTTGTGGCGGGCGCTGGTCTTCCCCCGACTTTTTGTCTTGGGAACGATTCTGTTTACGCTTCTGCGCCACATGGGGTTCACCAAAGTCTAAATTCCTGACCTTCATCACTAAGGTGGAGGTGTCGCTTTAACCGCCTCCGTGTATGACCTTGACTGCTGCTTGGCACCTGTTGTCTCTTGTAATTTAACACCATTACCTTGGAGCTGGAAACAATCGTCAATCAAATGGCCTCGTTTATTACAATGAGTACATCTTAGAGAACGACGTTGCTTGAATGTCCGAAGTGGAGGTGCAATTGGAGCCAATGGTGTCGTTTGAGGTATCTGGGGTGGTTTCATTTGTGCCATCTGGGGTGGTGATGTCGTCATGGAGGGTTGCCCCATCAAAGGCCCCATAGCCGTGGGACACAGTTTGTTTGCTTAGTCTACCATATCAATAGGTGGTACAAACTGAACTTCCTGTGCCCGGCCGTATAAAGGACGACGAACTACTAACAGGAAACTAATTAATTCGATCAGCATTTCCACATTGGTCGCTGACATTTTCCCATCTTGGTCGTACCAATCTGAGTTCCAGAAGGTCGCTTCCATATCTTGGCGCACTTCCCCAGCGATATCCACTGCCACCACCGGTGTTTCAGCGTGAACCACTGGCGTACAACGATCCAGCCACCTGAAAATCCACTGCAATTGGCCCAACTGGGACCTGCCCCAAAAAATTCCAATGAGGGTGCGCTTGAATTTCTTATAGCTTGGGTCCGTTAAACCATACGCATTTAAATGATTTCCGGCATATGATCCCTGCGTAATGTGGGAACTCACAAATGCCTTTTTCTCTTCATCACTGGTAATTCTTGCAGTGCGCATGGTGTCTTCACATGCATGAATAAAATGCGCTACTCGAAAATCATCCTGACCCATAAAATTACGAACGTAGTCGCCACGCTGCATTATATGAACTACATTATCAGGGTTAGTTGACTTGGTAGCATTATTGGGTGGAGTGTTAGAGTAAGCCTTTTTAGCGTTAGAAGTTAGCAAGCCAGTACGTTTTTTACTCCGAATGAAAGGCAAGGTTAATGGGAGTGGTAATGATAAATCAACTGACACACTGTCACCCGGAAGAGGATTAGAAACTACCTGTGCAATCTAGGTGAGGTACTACATTGATTCCCCGACCGTAAGGCACGACGGTTTAAGTCGTCAAACGATTCCTCAATTAACTGCTCACTACTTTCTACCGAAACGTTTAACTGTGTTTACGGCTTAAGTCAATCTCTGCAGCTGACACGTGACGTTTATCCTCTAAGTGTAAACCGTCAGCAAATAATTGTGCTAGGTGAGTAATGTCTTCGGATTTATACATTGAAACTTTGAAAATTTATCCAATAAGTTTCAGTTTAGCCAGACAATAATTAATGGTAAAAGCAAAATACTTGCCTCTCATTTACAGGAAATGATAAAAATTATAGTTAAAATAATTAAAATATGAATGATTAAAGAGATAAGAAATAACTACTGCAAATTATATTATGTCAGTACACATGAATACACGTAAGACACAGATTTCAATGACATACCCTATCCGATAACCTATCGTTGTGAAGTTATGTCTCGAACGTGTTAATGTGTGCATAAACTATGTGTACTTTTGAAATACCTAATACAGGAGTTATAGTCTGTATAGAAAACGCGATCCGGCCAGCTGGTATTTGTAGTGGGGCGAGAATCGTCCTTCAATACGCGCGCCTCCGGCTGGTGTCCCTGGCAACGAGAATGATGGGCTGCAATCACGACGATGGGTGAGTCCACTTCACGATAGGGGAATACCTTCCACAGTAGAACAAATGCTGCTGACCTAAGACGAATCAGGTTCCTTCTGTCGCCGAAATACTGCAATCAACACTCGCGAAACCACACAACCGTCCAGTTACTTATGAAATGTCACTTCTTAGTAAAGTTTATGAAACCATCTGCAACACTGTACTGTAGACCACACATTCGTAGATCGCTCACACTATGCTTTCTTGGGGGTTCCTTTCTTGTTACTAACAGGGTTTTCACCAAACTGGCTGTATGATATAATAATAATTCTGCACCTCTTCTGGTCGACAGTGATGAGGAGCACTCACTAAATATCGTCTCGATACGGGATACAGTTTTAACACTCGGATTCGTTATGTAACGCGTCACTGTTTTTTTGTTTTCTTGTTTTCACAAAACACTGACGTCTTGGTATGACACCGGTAGTTGTATCAGTTAACCACGTTGCTGCCACCTTATATGTTCCGCTGGTTAATTCCCAGTTAACCAGGTTGGTACACATATAATATATATTGGGCTTTTAGTAACGAAACCCAATTGAAGTTTCTTGTTTTATTAAAAAGTATTATGTATATAATTCCTGAGTGTAGATCAACCGTAAGTTCCACTATTTATGAGTGTGGTGAGAAAGGGACGGCGTTTATGTATATAAACGAGAATCAACGTCCGTTCGATATTAGCTGGTGTGAGTGACTGACTAAGGGCGTGGCATTGGTGCGCGCTTACATAGATGCTGACATATGGGCTTCTCCCTCTCAGGAAGCTACTTTGCACGTGATCAGTTCATGTCCTCCTCATAGGTAGTGGAAAATTACAGGGGATAAATCTGAATATAAATCAGATGTAAATAACCCATTTATATAATACTTCTGTTGATGAGACATTAGCTACTACACGACTCAACAACAGTTACATGGGCAGAATGGCTAGCTACAACAATTATAGGCATCTTTTAACTATATTACACAATTTCATGACATTATATTAGATAATATTATTCTTCAGTCACCACATCAGCCCCCTCCCGACGGTCACTTGTAAGGAAAATGACGCTCGAAACCGAAGCTGCGGCCGTACCACACAGCCGGACCTCATACGCAGCAGACATTAGCAGTGGTGGCGTAGTCGCAGGTTCTGTGTCGCTTGTGGAGACAGCATTGGTTGGCCTGTTTATGGTGGAGGTGTGGTTATGTTAGTGAGGAAGTCTCTTATTTCTCGTGTGGGCAATGTAAATTTCTTAAATGCTCATTTGTATAATAAAGCAGTATGGTGAGAGATCGTTATGAAAAGGAAAAATATACTAATTAGTGCTGTGTATAGGGCTCCTATTACAAGTCGTGGGAAGAATATTTTAATGAATTACCTAATCAAGTTGTTTTCTCTACTCACACAAGGTTTTCAGTCTCCTGAGATTATCATTCTCTCCTTGCACACCAAACACACCCATTACATCATTCACTGGCCCAGTACCCAATTTCCCATACATATCTCCCATCACTATCACCCTGAAACTTTTCACACAGACCGAGCACACTTTACTGTCTTCTTTTGAGCGCTTCCACCACTTCCAACCTGACTTTCCTGAGCCCCCGACAGGCAGAGGATCCAGGTCAGAGGCTCATTCATTAAGCCACTTCTGGGAAGTAAAGATAGAGGAAAGGTGGACTCCCAACCTAGCGTTGCCCTCCTCATTAAAGAAGGGGCTTTGAGGCTGACCACAGAATCTCTTGTGTGGTGGAGTCGCCACATCCCTACGCCACACCAAATCTTCAACCACTTCTATAATTTCCCATTCACCTGCACATGACACACTGAACCATCTCTCTCTACAACCTAAGTTTTACTTTTGTCCACATTCACTGCCAGGCCTTCACCATCCTTGGGAATACCAACAGATATCTCAAAATATAGTCCTGTAGAGTTTTAATGTTTAAAAGTTGGTTAAAATTATGAAAATGACACCATCAAATAAAATACTGAGGCTGTTCCGAATTTTCAGCCATAAAAAAACACTAGTTTCCAAAAGTTAGGGTTTCATTACATTTATTCATAAAATAATACAAAGATGTACAGTTGCTAAAACAACTATCTGTGCAGGTGGGGGTCAGTATGCTCCGAAACTTTACATGTGACTAGTAGCAGCCCTCATATACCAAAATTTATCGTCCATGGTCTCATATTGTTTCCCACAAAGTCTGCACGGATAGTTGTTTTAGCGACTGTACATTCAAGATTTAATATAGAAAATATAACACAAAAATTACTGTATACCCATATAAAAAATGTAACATTCATAAATATAAATAAATGAAATAAATAAATTTGAAAATAAAATAACCCTTCAATAAACAAAATACAAAAATATTACTTTCAATGTAAATATATATCATCCTGACCTTAGGGTAACACTCACTAAGCTGTATTAATATAATATAATAAAGCAATACCAAACGTATAAGCACGTACGTGTCAGAGGAATCCACGTCCATCATGTGAGCAAAACTGAGACGGACTGCAGAGCAACGGCCAAGCAACCGGCCTCTATCCGCTGTTCGAATGAGTCGTACGTTTGGCATTTCACCTCCAACCGCACTTCATCTCAAACTGCTACACCGGCCTGGTAAGACGATGGGGGAGGGAGGACGGGGGTGGACAAGGACTCGGATAACAAGCCGTGGCACTGAAGGTAGGTGGACCTAGCACTCCTCGCGTGGTAGTTACAGATTCACTAGTATATTGACAAATATACCAACTTAGGGGATCACGGCTAGATATTGTACTGGTCAGGTCACGCACTAGTCACTCATGAATCAGATTTTCTAGGACTCAGACTGGGTACTCCCGGAATGACCTTGTTTTTCGGCTTAAATACGGTTATGGTAGAGATGGTGGCTGGTGCTCGTGCTGGAGATGGTGGGTGACCTTTATGGTGTAGAATGATGAATTGTACTATGTTATGTTGTGGTCTTGCAGGTTCTGAAGAAGGCAGTCATTTATGATGACGAGTTGATGGTGTCAGTCGCCTTGGCTCTTGGTGCTGACCCCTGCACC